ACTACCACTACTACTACTACTACTACGATTATTACAGTTGGCTATCAGCAGCCTGCTGCATTTCAACACACCAGGTTTCTACCCTGGAGGAGAACGAAATTATCTAATAAGCATGAATTTGTTTGCGCGAAACTTTATGATAAATTTAGTTTGTTCATAAAGACCTATTAGTCAAGCGCAGTGAATGTAAACTAACGCATTAGAGAATATCCCTGGAATCCCACAACAGCTGTTTGATTTATTTTTTTTCCGGAGGTCATCGGAATTGGAAATTCGTGGAATCCATTTATATTTCTATCCCTGAATTTGACAACCGGCTCCTCCTCCAGTTACCGTCCGCTAGATAGAAAATAGCTTCCCAACAACCCCACCACACACCTCACACCGATACATCGTTGAGTTCCAGTGAAATTCCAGGTATTGACCAAACTCGTGCAATATCTTAATTTTTATCACAATTGTTCCTCTCTTCTTCTTTGCAAGTGATATGCCCTATAAAAATGAGCACTGGTTCATTTTTACTATACCACTCTCGTCCGATCCAAAACAATACCTTGAATTCGTGAGGCCTTAGTTCGTTCAGTGCTCAAAACTCACCGAGATTCTCCGGCAGAAACGGTTCACTTCGTCTTGCGGAAAACCAAATGTCTAGCCTGAATGTATTACCTCTAATTGACCATTGTCGCAGCCGTATTACTTGTGACACCATAGTTGACGCAATAACGCTACTGAGAACGTGTTGTGAACAGGAAGTAACGCAGTGTTGACCAATTCACAACTACTATCACGGTTCGGATGCACATGACACTGCCTGATCCCCATTTAGAGGGTAAACAATGAGGATTGCGTACAGCGATATAAAGGAGAAGGCGGTGTTCTATGCTATGCTTTCCATCTGTCCACATGGGCAAATTTCCTCCTGTGAAAATATGAGACAATTTGTATGGCATGTTTTTGTAGGGCAAAACCTCACTCACGTGACCAGTATACGTTCTATCGATTCCCGGTAAGAAATTGTTCCGGTCTGAGATAAATTTAACAATCTGAAGAACTTCACGATTAGACACACGAGACAGAAGGTGAACTTTTTTTCATCCAGAAAGTTTGTTGGTACAAGTACCCGGGACCTGGACCTGGACCAAAGTCTACGAATTTGGTAAGATTTAGGAATCATGTAAGACTCATTAACAGTGTATGGGATCTCGCCTTGGATATTTATTAATCCGAACTGATTTTTTCAACTTTCAAACCCTGAATCTACACAATCGATTCACGCCCTTTGAATTGATTAGCATCAACGAACTACTATCATCGTCACTTTCAAAAGCTGCACGAGTTTCTTCCATCTATGGACAAGGAACTTTCATGTAAACGTGATGGAAATGTTTGTGATGACTGACGAAGAGTGCTGGACAGTTGTGTTTCGTCCTGTTTGGGACTCGTCAGCAGTGCGTACGTTTTGTGTCCCTTCAACAGTGAACCTTCGGGTTGGGACAATAAACTCTTACCTTGAGCTACGTGGTCAATGATCATCACCTTGTGCGAACGGCTCAATCAATTTAGAGTATCATGTTTTGATTAACCAAATCGATCTTTCAGCGGCACCAGGCGCTCTTAATGGTCTTGGATGTGAGTTTCACTTCTTGGAAGATAGCTAATTCTCCGCTAATTGAATGTGTTTAAACAAAAGTGAACCCCACACCTAAGACCATCAACAATGTCTGGTGCCTCTGAACAACTGAATGAGCTAATTCAAACATGAGACTCTAAAAGGAACTTTCATGGCTTGTGTTTCGACTGAATTCCAACCGCGACGCTATGCACAGTATTTGTTTAAGGCCCGTAATCCAACACACAGGAAATCAGCACACACAAGAGAGCGTGCTGATCGGAACCGGGTTAACGATTTAATGCCTGATCGTGAGAGTACATCAATCGATTAAACGACGACCTAAAACTAGGTCAAGCTGGCGCACGGACATTAGTCATTGTGGCTGGCATGATCAACCGTGTCACGTGGTTGGACTAGCAATGGGAACGGATAGACGAATGAGTACGTAACAGTTTGACAGTTCAAATCACTGAAAAATCAATGTGCACATTTCATGTCTTTGAGGTTACACTCTTCCAAAGCTTGGTATTCGTTTCATCAGAAGAACCCTCATTGCTTCAGGTTTGCGTTCACATCATTGGAAAGGAACCTTACCCCCCCCCCCTGAAGGACCAGTACCTAGAAGAATGCGATTCTCTACTATCAAATTGTTTCCAAAAATTGATTGTATTCAATTGCACACAGACAAAATTAGACCATCTGAGTATCTCGTCACTGAGAGAGAGCCAGACAAAACGAGTTGCTCAATGCTGTTCTGCACATAAATTTCGTCTCACATGGGATCCTTGTTTGGGTCGTTGGGTTCGCACTGTTAGTGACAAACCACCAAAGTAAAGCAATAAGTAATAATAAAATAATATTCTGTTGCCTCTCAGAATCTCCCTTCATGTTTCCTTTGCTCTAAACACGAAAATTTTCATCCTTTCATCCAGAACTTATGTTGTGAGGTACTACTCACATTTGTGATTAGTACGCAAACGGATGCGTTTGGCGGTTCCTTTCACCGGTCAAAAATGAACAAGACCACTTAAAGCGGATTGTTGTGTTCAAAATAACTACGGACTGTTCCATTCATGATCCTGTGTGCAATCGGGAATTTTGATGGCATGTTCAAAATGAGATATCTTTTTATATGTACGCCCAATTTTCGGTATTCTAACTAACTATCCTCGACCAGGGACCGTCTTGTGAAATTATAACATTTCATTTTTCTGCAAATTTCTTTTCGAAAATTGTTTCAATAGAAACTTAACTTTCATAGGCTAGTGAGCACAACGTTCAATGTTCTTAATAAACTGGGAAAATTGTTCATATTGTACTTCGTGCGGAAAATTTGCAACGACTTAATCAGCCTTTTTCTTGAATTTTCTTTTTTTACATCTGAGTGGATTAATATTTAGTACACATACATAATCATTATATGCTACCCGAGAACCAAGGTAAACACAGAAACTAATAAATATATGTATACAATAGCCGAGGAAGTAGCGGTTATGCGTACCTGGCGAGCGTTAACAGCCACAAAACCGGTCTTGTGCCTCCGGAGAAATTTTGTCTAGTCATTAAGATATTACTTATTAAATCATGTGCGCAATATATACCCATTTAAAAACAAACTTTCCCAGGATAACTCTTTCCGGGAAAGAACATTATACGTGTAGAATTGATCATGTGCACAGGTGTATTTGAAAAATAAATGTAATAGATATAATGAAGACTTTTTTTATCGGATTACGTAATGAACGGGACTGGCACAGTCAAAAGAAATTTACCGGTACTGCAATGCCAGATTATGTGCGCATTGGGTATATACCTAATTTTTGCCGGGAGAGGAGTTGCAAATAAGTTCCAAGTCCTGAGGGGCACAGAACTGGAGGGGGTGATTGCACGGAACTCATGAATGCAGTAAAACAAAACTCGGGCTCAAATTAAACGCTTCATCAGATGAATAAGAGCGGGAAGTTGAAGAATGAGAAGTGACTCGGCCGGGCATGCACAAAATGTCAGCTTTGGATTATTTTGAAAACACGATACGATACAACCAGATCAAGAGAGGAAGTGACGATAGCAGAATGAGAGAAGGAGTGTTTCCTTTCACTCTCAGATCTGCCTACGGTTGTTTGGAACAGGTTCCAGAGATCCATTCTTTGATTCTGGCATAAAGCCCAACTTGAGAGTTTCCATTTGCCAGGTTGTAGAATGGTCTGGGGAAAGGGGTTTTAGGTAGGAGAGGCGAAACAACACCAAAGGTATTCATTTAGCAAGCAGGTTGCTATAAAACATTATTTGCGAAAAACATTAATTAACATACAACACAATCTATCTATAACAGAGATTTTCAGGATAACTGAACGGAATGGGACAATCAGGTCTAACTGATTATGGTGGCTCAGGAAAATGATTCAAGGACACTACCAAATATCGCAACAAAAATCAAGTTGACCATCTCAGGTGGCCACAGAACACCAAGATAGATTTTAATATGAAAACAATGTAGATGTCTTCTCCCTGGTCAACAAATGACTTTCAACCGGAAGTGAATCAGCAGTGTTAGCCGAGCCCATAACCCGATTAGCGTTCAACCACTCATGGAATGGGAAACTAGCTTTTGATCACTGAAAATTATTCCTTTGGGTAGGAAGGTGCATGTAATATATATTGCAGTATGCAAGACCGACAACTCCAGTTCTGAATCCACTCGAAATACACTGGCAGATTGATTCCGGCCAACGCGGTCCGAGTTCTTATTTGGCGTCTTCACAAAAGGCAGCACACAATCCCTGGCCACTCAATACACAGCAGTTAGGACACACTTCTCACAGTAGAAAGGGAGAATACAAGAAGCAAACATGAACCAAAAAGTTCAGTGAGAGACGTGCACACGACTCACAATTAAATTAAGATGACTGCGGGAGATGGGAAATACCAAATTGTGCTGGGGTTGCATTGTAGCGACAAAAAACAACTAACATGAACACGAGTGAAAGCCACTATTTCAGTATTTGAACAACTGGTTTGCAAACAGTTCTGGATACAATTATCCCATTTGCAACGCGAAACTCCATAGATCACCATGAACACCGTCAAAATTCTGTCAACGGTCTCACAGAGCCCACTGTAAGTAGGAAAAAGACAAAAGATTGACTGACTGTCTTTCCCTGGGGATGACATCCAAGCATGCCTGAATTAGTGGTTCTTGTCTATCCGTTGGTTTGAGCCACTTATCCCAATGGCAACACCCACATCTGCTGCACGAAAGGTCCTCAGTTCAACCCCCCCCCCGGGCAAACTGATAGCTAGGAGTAACTGAGGCACTCTATTGAGAGGTAAGCACAAATCCGGTGCTGCCGGAATGCATGGCGGACTGAGGTATGGAGTACGAATCCCGCTTTTCATCTTCCTCAATTCTGTATCCGCCCCCCCCTCTCCCCACAGCCGTTGCGTGATCGCGGTCCCTATCCTGAAAGTTGGCTGTACATTATTTGTATATTCAGTAAACCTTGAAGGGGGGTGAAAGCATTTGTAAAACAACGATTGCTAATAAACGGAAGATTGAAAGTGAAGATGAAATTGGAATGCCAGTTAGTCAGTCAAACTCGAGAACACGTATTCAATATCACCACTCAAATTCAACTATTAGCTAGAAATGTAAAACAAAAAATCTGTTCTACTTTTGATCTGACTTGTCTACACACCGGTATGGTTTAAGTTTGTGCGTCAAGGCTAAAGGACTGCGGGTTTTGGTTAAAGCTTGATGGTAAAAGGTGCAGTAGAGGTGCCTATTTTGTTACGGCCGAATACAGTTTGTCACAATTAATCTATTCCGTCACACTGCTGACAACTTTCCCCGCTGGATTTTCACCCTACTCCCAGTATCGTCAGGGGCTGTTTCCAGGGATACGGGAACATCAGGATCATTAATGTCCGCTATCTGGCCAGGGTATGCTCACCATCCTAATCAAAGCCTATTGGAATAAACTTTCTCAATGGATCTGATGTTTTCACATGTAACCATACCGATCACACTCGGTTATATGAGGCGCCCGGGGCATTTTAGCTGAAACTTTTATTTCATTTTTGTTTTCACCTGTCTTTTCAAGTGTTCTCTGACTTCCCTAAGCTTGTTTTTTCAAAACTTTTACTCGTCTAGTCCGATCCACTCAATGGTATTTTACGCGGCTTTAGTTGGTCTGTATAAAGTCAACACCCCTTCCTTCCTTCGCTCCTTTAACCGTTCTCAATGTTGGGCGACCACTGACCTCTTCTTCAGTGGTTCACTCACCAAGTGTTCACGACATTTTCAAATGAAGCGTGAACTGAAGAGCAGAACGCAAGCATGCTACCCACTCGGTCACCGAGCAGCTGATCACACCGCTTTTTGTCATTTTCCATTTGCACGATATGGTACGTTATAGCCTGCAAGAAGCTCGCAAAGATAGGTTTTGCTATATTATTTACAGAGGAAATGAAACTAAACGGTTTGATCAACTGCCCGGGGTGGCCACGTGGGTAGCACGCTTGCGTTCAACCTGTATTGTGGTCCCCAGGTTCTACTCACCCACATTGGGTCGATGGATTCGTGCATTGCATGGATGAGACCCAACTAGTTCTAAACAGCTGTTTAGCAGTGCTTCCAAGCTTTTCAGTTCATGCGTTTCATTTTTTCAATACGCGAAGAATTTTCTCCATGAAATTCAACTATCACTCTTAATTTATAACATGTAATACTAGCGAAAACAGAACTGAAGGTGAGTTGTACGATATTTCAATTCGTCTGTTTCTCCTCTTTCAAATACAGTTCTCTTTAAAATTTATTCTAACTGGTTAAAAATATTCCGGTCTCTGGATAAGCAATTACAAGAACTTCCTGTGCAATCTCACAAATCAGCAGTTACGAGTTATGGTTCTCTGGATCAATTGAGAACTAATTAGTTTTTGCAATGTCTGGCATTTGTGTTCCATTTGTTGAGATTGCGGAACAGATTCCATGATTTATTTGGTGAATGAATGTTTGGACTTATCCATTCGGTTTTTCACAGGCACCAGGCACTGTTGATGATGTTCGATGTGGGTTTCACTCCTTGGGAGATCGTTAATTCCCCACTGTTTGTTTGCATTTTTGTGCGATGGAAATGTTTGTGATAAGAAGTAAGGGTTTGAAGTCCCAAACCGAACGTTCACGGTTCGAGTCCTGACAGGAACACAAAAAGTACGCACTGCTGACGAGTCTCAAACAGGACGAAACAGCTGTCCAATGCTCTTTGTTGGTTATCACAAACATTTCCATGGCACTAAAATATTCCATGATTCTTTGGATTGCCTCTACACCTTTGTAACTTCTCATAATTTATATATATGCATATATATATATATATATCACAACCAATTGGCTTCTAGCGGTCCGGGAACTTATAAAAGTATAATTTTCTTATAACACACACTGAAGGATTCATATATCTTGGTGTGAAGAATTGAAAACTTGAAAGTTTCCACAGATTATGCATGATACTAGGGAATGTTAGATCACTTTTTACAAACACCGCCCCTACCCCACCCTCGTTTGCACTGACTGTTTTTGTAATTGTTCATGTACAACAGCTCATAATTGTCTGAAAAACACTGGCGCCCTATTTCTCCCGAACTCGAACTCGATTCAATT